AGTCTCAACAAAATACGCATATTTAGCTAAGTGGATCTTAACATTTGAGCAAAGACTATAAAAATTTCGTGGTAAGTAATAAATCACACAACGTAACTAACCAGACGTGAAGAAGTCAAACTGTTGACCTCCGTGTATTTGTGTATGCACAAAAGTCAAAACTAACAGACAGAAACAAACGGCGGTTTGTTAATCAAATTTCCTCCACTTTTGGGGCGTTTTATGTTTAATACTTAAAATAAAATGTTGACAGAATATATATATGCGGAAGTTCGATCAATACTAAATAGAGGAAAGGGAACACTTATCCATCATATTAAAAAAAAAAAATAATTTGCCAATAATTCAATAAATACCATATTATTTTCTGGTCTAATTCAACCTAATTTTTACAGATTCGAAATTGATTAATTTTAAATAAAAATTTAATTATTATACCTTTATTGTAAAACAACTATAATTTTTTTGACATACATACGTACTTTCAAATTGAAATAATATTTAATTTCATAACGTATAGTAATTTGCATGATTATTAAAGAGTTTGGCGAGTCGACCCACTTAACGATCAGGCCGTCCAAACACAATAATTTACGAACTTTTGAAGATAGTTTTATGTACAATTAGGATGAATACTAGAAGGAATAGAAAGGGTCTTCTTCTCTAGTAACCTTACTCCCATTCTACTGCCGAGTCATGTGCAAGACAATTGCCATTTTCTCTATTTACTATATTTTCTATTTTGGTATTTTTTTTCCTTCTTCTTCTTCATATAATGGCCAAACCAGGTGGACTCTCCTTTGAGCCACATTACACTTTCAATATAAAATTGTGAGCTCAAGTTTGAAGAAAAAAGAAAAAAAAAAGTACACTTAATTTCATCAAATCAAATGGAATCATCTAGCTCTAAATCCCCTCGGTCCCCTTCGGCCGTTCGTTTCCCCACGAACCTCAACACGTGCACCACTAACGACGAGCGAGCTGAAAATGGTTACGGGAAGAGAAAATTAGTCGTCGCGAACGAGATGGATTTTTTCACGGACGAGAAAGAGAATCATGTCCGCGATGACGATCGTGATGAGGGTATCGATAGAAGTTTACATTTGAGTGGACCATCGTCTTCAATCATGGATTTCAATCATGTCAATGTAAGTTCATACTTTCCAAATTTTTGCTTTCTTGAAATTTTCTTTGAGCTACATTACTGTATATATTTATATTTATATACATAAGTTCTCTGTTTCAATTTTATGTTTCTTTCTTGGGTTATTCTTTCTTGATGAGCTGGTTTCGATTCTAATACAGACTGATTTGTTACTTCTAACGTCCGAAAACACGAACGCTAGCGACCGATCCTTAGTAGAAGGTGGAACATCTTCAAACTCCGAGCAGGGGAGGAAATTTGAGGTGATCGATCGGGAGATATGGTTTCGTTGTGTTTTGTTCGCAATTTTTAATTAGGATTTTTGTTTTCCAAAAAATAATTAACATTGCTATAAAGTTGATAGCGTACGTCTACATATATATGATAGCACCATATGATATAAAAATAAGTTAATAACACCATACACAATTCAAAATAGCATCATGTTCAGTTTTTTCTATGTAACATTTGTATACATAAAAAGAATATGGTGATTACATTTACAGCTTAGGATTATGAGAAGTGAGCTAGAAAGAATGAGCACGGAAAATCGTCGTCTCAAGGAGATGTTGAACCAGATGACGAACAATTACAACGGCCTTCATATGCATTTGATGACGGTCATGAAGCAAAACGAGCAACAACAACAACAAAAAAGCGTAATTAATCATCATCACCATCATAGTGGAGGCCGAGGAGAGTGTAGAAATTCGTGTTGCGGACAGTTGACGGACCTTGGGCTTGCAATGGGGGGCGACACGGAGGATCATGCCTCCCTATCATCCTCCGAGTGCAGGGATCACTGGCCCACGGTCGATAAAGAGAGAGACAACAAGAGTCCGGAAAATAAAGTAATTACTTCTAGGCACGGTTCAAGTTCCGATCCTAGTAAGAGTAGTGTCGATCAAGCCACCGAGGCCGCCATCAAGAAGGCTCGAGTATCAGTTAGGGCCCGGTCGGAGGCTCCTATGGTATGTTTTCGACTACCATTTCATCATTACGATCAAATAAATAAGACAAAACTCGTAATCTTAAAAAGAAAATCGATTAGAGGATTCAGAAAATATGTAGTAGCACATATATATGTCTTGGTGTTTCCTCGTTATATTGACTATGAGTAGCGAAACAGATAACCGATGGATGCCAATGGCGCAAATACGGGCAGAAAATCGCAAAGGGAAACCCGTGCCCTCGCGCGTATTATCGATGCACCATGGCCGCCGGTTGTCCCGTTCGAAAACAAGTACGAATACTATCATTATTACCAAATGTTGTGTTACATGAGTTATTATTGAGTGTTGATCATTGCATAAATGCAAAGAAAATTAGCGCAAATTAAGGATCAATTCACTATTATTATTCAAAACATATGTACTCCAAAATAATGCCTAGCTCTCATCCTCACATCAAATCATGCTAAAGTGACACAAATGATGTTAACATAATAACACGTGTCACGATCTTATTAATTACACATCACGTCACTTTTAAAATCAACAACTACTAAACACACGGATATCATTTTATGTCAAAGTAGCTTTATTTTATTCCATGTTCGAGCTACTCGATTGCAGGTCCAAAGATGCGCCGATGACAAAACCATCCTCGTAACGACATATGAAGGCAACCACAACCACCCGCTACCTCCAGCGGCCATGGCCATGGCCTCGACCACATCATCGGCCGCTCGGATGCTACTTTCCGGCTCGATGCCGAGCGCCGATGGCCTAATAAACTCGAACATCCTCGCAAGGACTCTCCTCCCTTGCTCCTCCACCATGGCCTCGATCTCCGCCTCCGCTCCTTTCCCCACCGTTACCCTAGATCTAACCGAGTCCCCTAACCCACTCCAATTTCCAAAAATGCCCTCAGCCGGAAATTTCCCTCTCACGTTCCCGAACAATACTATCTTGCCTCAAATGCTCGGCCAGGCATTGTACAACCAATCGAGGTTTTCCGGCGACACGACGGCGAATGCACTGGCGGCAAATCCAAATTTCGCGGCGGCTTTGGCGGCGGCCATTGGCTCGTTGGTTGGAGGCGGCTCGGGCTCGGGCGCGAACAACAATGCGAATGGGGAGAGTAATAACAATGCGGGTAACAACAATGGAAGCGGTGCGAACCCTAGCAACAATAACAATATGTAGTGGCATGAGAAATTCAAGACAAATTCTAGCTCTTCTTTTTTATTTGTAATGCAAAATGCTTACACATGATTTTTTATTTTTTTTATTTTTTTATTTTATTAATTTATAATTTTCGTTTCTTAAGGTTCTTGATTTATCAACATCCAAAGAATACTTGAAAAACCAGTCATCCAACCAGTTCTTGATTTTATTAACTTTATTTATGTAACTGTTATTTATATTCCTTTGGAATGTATTAAGTTATTTTTGAAATTCACAGTTATCATATTTTTTTTTTTTTATTTTATGTAAATCAATCGTTTGGTGATGTTATTTAT